GCAACAACATATAAATCTAAAAGAAGTATATATGTATGTGTTGTGTTGCTGCTGTTGCTGGGCTGGTTCCAACTCCGAGTGATCCCAAGAACAGCGGAAGGAAACACTGCCTTATCCTGCACTGTCCTCAATCTGCTTGAGCTCATTCTTGCAGCCACTGTGTTGGTCCATACTGTTGAGTGCCTTCTTCGTCATTGACCTTCTTTAAGAAGCATGGTGTCCCTCTAGGGACTGGTTTTTCCTGATAACATAAGCAAATTATGTGAGATTAAATCTTGCCATTCTTGTAAAGAACTTTCTGGCTACCCTTTTTCCTTGTTTTTGCCTGTCAGGTATGTTAATGAACTTTCAATAATAATGATTATATGTTAAAAATTGAAGCACAGAATGTTTTAGGTAATTCTACCAGATTATAAAGCTACCAAATGATTAAGTCTGAGCTTTTGAACCCCCAGATCTAAATTTATAATCCATATTAATGTATTCTCTCTAATTGTTTCTCTCCTCCCCACCTCCCATCCCCAATTATTACTTGGGGGAAAAATGTTTTTCTGAAACAGTGAAATTCTTTCAGTTAGAATAGACAGTGCCTTTCAACCCTTCTTTTGGTTTTTAGTATAGAGTTTAAGTACCTCAATTTATATTTATTGATATTTGAGTATGTTTAAATGCATATGTACATTTTGAGAAACATTTATTTAAATTAATAATACTCCTTAAAATTCAATAGGAAGAAGTAATAGTCCTTAAAAATGAACAAATAAGTTTTTATTTCATTTTAAGGAAAACTAAATCTTTGTTCTCTTTTATGAATTAAACTTGTTAGCTGCCAGTGTGTCTGTACCAACTCGTAGTGACCCTATCTATGTACAACCAAAGGAAACATTTCCTGTAAGATCTCCACAGTTGATTTCAATGTTTGAGCCCATTGTTATAGCCATTATGTCATTCCATCTCATTGAGGCTCTTCTTTTTCACTAACCCGCTATTTTACCAAGCTTGATATTTTTCTCTAAGGACTAGTCCCTCCTGCTAATATATAAAAAGTACTTATGGCAAGTCTCCCAATCCTTGATTTTAAGGAGCATTTTGATTGACTGAGAGTTTGTTTTTCTGACAGTCCATGATAGAGTCAACATTTTTTTGCCAACACCTTAATTCAAATACACATATTCTTCTGTCTCCTTTATTCATTGCCCATGTTTTATGTTAAAATACTGTTATCGAACAATAATTATTTAGTAACTTTCAAAGGTCATTGAAGATATCATATCTTGAATCAGGTGCATCTTAGTCCTCAAAAGGACAACTTAATGCAGTATATCCTTTGAATTCTTAACTGCTTCTGCCACAGGTGTTAACAATTTCAATCTTTTCTTTTTTTATCATGATATTGTTTATTGGTCCAATTAGGATTTTTGTTTGACTTGTAAGACATACTGAAGACTGCAGTCTCTGACCTTCAAATTCGTTACGTGAGCAAGATGGTTTCATTTGCATATCTCAGGTTGCTAATTAAGAAGATGTGCTTTATTTAATATTGTCTGTCTTGTATTATTTAG